ATTGACCTTTCCGAACCATAGAACCCCTTGTGGATGCCTTCAAGAAAAACTACGCACGTCGTAGGGCCGCCCTACGCTGATCGTGCGTCATCATTTATCAGCCGTACGGCCCGGGAATCGTAGTTTTTCCTCATTATCAAGATACGCCGTACGGCTATCTTAGCAAATGTGACTGCTAAATTATCTGACTGCAGAAATACTTAGGCAACCATAGAAATTCTACTTACCACAGAAATGATAGACCGTACGGTCCCCGTAAAAATGTGACGAGAGGCTAAGAATCCATGATAGTAATTGAATACAGTTTTAAAATTTAATTTTAAAATTTTAATTTCTTTGAATACATGTGTTAAAGATAAACATAAATGCAATGAATATTAAAGTACGAACACGTATTTTTGTAACGAGACTAGCAAATTAAACCATTGCATTCTTGGAAATTCAAGATGGGTTGGTTGAATTAATTTTATTATGTTTTATTCAAATAGTTTGCATTCGCCTGATAGAATTAGCATTCTCTGTTCGCATTTAATTAGCGCTAGACCTAATAAAAGTTAAAAAGTCACGAATGCCAGATTGTTTCAAGTGTAAATAAAGAATAAATCTAACCTGCATTCCATGTCTAGATAGGTAAAAAGCAATTCCGAAAATGCCGGCGTTAATATTCTGTTGAAATCTTTCTTTATTATGGGTGGTATATACGTATACTTTTAGTTCCTTTGAAATGATTTCTTTGGTTTTGGAATGGCAACAACTCGGCATTCATTTTTTGATTCAAAAATGGCGCCACAACTTTTGGAATGCCAAGGCATCAATCTGGCATCAATGACGTCATAACAATGTTGTAAAGAACCACTTTACGGTTGAGATGGCAGCTCCGTGGTCCAGTTCATATGCAAAACCCGGGGCTCAATAACAATTAAAAGGATAATGATAGAACAATAAAACTAAGTTGGATTGAAAGATATATCTTTATTCTAACTTATTATCAAGTTTAAGGGACAAAACTTCGCATTCCCTTTAAACTATGAACCAGACTATGACTATTGACTATGATGATCCAGATGATCATGATATGATATTATTATTTTTTGCTGTAAACTTATTCAGTTTTTTCATGTATTACAAATGTGTAACATACCGTCATCTCAGATAACCCGGAAGTCAAATCAAAATAACTATATTTTCAGTTACCTTCGATTACTTCCAAATATTATGCTTCTATGAATACCTTTGAGTCATCTATTAATGAACACTGAACCGTGATCCGTGATCTATGAACTATGTTGGTAAACGTTGGGGAGAAAGATGCAGACGTTTCATATTTAAGGAATAAATAATGATAGGCCATTCAATATGGTGAAATTCAGCACGAGTTGGACAGAATGTTGTACAAAGCACGAACCGAAGGTGAGTGCATTTGTACTAACATTCTGTCCAACGAGTGCTGAATTTCACCATATTGAATGGCCTATCATTATTTATTCCGATTCAAACATAAAAATTAGTAAAAGCCGTGTCTGTGGAACGGGCATGAAGGAAGAATACGCATGCTGTCAAGATCCTGAAGTCGGCCGGAAAATTTTTAGAATTTGTTTGGGCTGTTCTATTTTACTCCCCGTTTTAGACTGCAAACTTGAAGTCAGCCATAGTTAAATAATTACAGTAGTTACGGAGGGAGTAAAAAAGAACAGCTATCCCCGGACAGAGCCCCAGATGTGCAGCTGAGATGTGACGTCACTCTAAACAATGCAAATTGCAGATTGAATAGAGCATGGTCGTGCATCTATGGAGAATTAGAGAACGTTCTATATTGGCTATGCTGCATTCTGATTGGTTGAGAAATTCGAATAGAGCACAGTCATGTTTGAATTATTGACAAATCTACTAAATTTAGAATATGATCATTTGGGGAATCCCCCAAAGAAATTCACTATTTAAAGCGAGGTTGTTTTGAGAAATCTGTAGTTGATTTTCACATCCATTGGGATCTCGAGCGATAGCCATTCTGCGATAGACAGTAGATTATGTGGGTGAGTAACATTTGAGCTTCATTAATGTTCTAAATAAGCATAGATTGAATACTAGATCTAGAAAGAATCTATATAGAGATTATAGCTAGATTACTGAACAAATTGAACTAATAGAGGAGTTTGAAACTTCTGGAAAAAACATTTGACATTTTTTGATTTTTACCATGCTTACCATATTATTATAAGTTGTGTATGCTATTTCGACTAGTATTTTATAAATAATGTATTTTCCATGAGAGAATTAGTCCAATCTGTTAACTATTTTTCATGTCTTCATCATCTACAACCAGAATGAGACACACAAAACAGCAGTTGCCATGGTATTTTGACAAGTATATTTATTTGTGTAGTTTGCAAATTAGGATGTCATCACCACAAACAACGTTGGAGTAAACATTTAAAAGTAAATAACTTAAGTGACTTTGTTGATCCTTTTAATTTTGATTGAATTTCATCAATTAACAACCAAATATGGCACATAAGTGACTGCAAAATCCCATTATCAACAACCCATCTATGTCATATCAGGACATTTCTGACTCTGAGGATAGTAAAATGAACTAGAGTACCAAGTGCAGTGGAGTCTTTAGCCCATCTTGTATTCCTGAACTGCCTCCAACTACTAGACCCAGTGTCAAAACACATTACATCTGTGGACTTAACATCACTGGACATAAAAATTTCGGCAATAAAGCTGAAATTAGAGGCTGAAGGAGAACCTTTCAATTGAGGACCCTTCAATATATTGAAGCAGGGCACTGCAAGGGGCCATCTGATGGCTATGGGAATAGCTAAACATGATGCTGATAATGCAGTATAATAAAGGCAGTAAAACATTGGTTCTCAAAACAAGGTGCAAATGATTCTTTTGCTTGGCTCTTAAAGAATATTAACACTTTTGTGTCCATCAATAAAAAGGTATATGAAGTCAGTGAGTCAGGGACCCATTGAGTACAAAAATGCAAATCCAGTCAAGTGTACAATGCAACTCCTTGAACTTGTACTTCTAATTCTGAGAAAGTTAGAATTTTATAAGGTCTGAGAAAATGTAAGAATTTATCTAAGGGAATATGTGTATAAAAGAAATACATGAATAGATGTACATAGAATGTTACTTTATCTTCGTATTTGTTTTACATGTGAGGAAAGCAAACCTAGTTTTAAAATGAAATTCCAAAAGAAACATTACATGTACAAATTCTATTCTATTCTAATGCATTTTGAAACCCCATCAGGTTAACTTGATACTGCTTTGAATCCATGATTTTTTATGTTCAATTATCAATATACACCTTTCAAGCAAACGAGCTAGTGTTGGAAAGCACATCAAAGATATTGTGCCCATTCCCATCCCGACCTAATTAGAAATCATTTGTGAGGAAACAAAAATTCCGACACTATATTCAATAATGCCAACATACCTGATCTGTTGGTCATGCTGCATATATTTCACTTACCTTCTTCTTTGAACTTTAAGTGAATATCTCATTTAGAAAATGAGATAAAATTTAGTATTGTTATTTCAAACTCTTCCCTGTCACTTACCTTACCTCAGAATCAAATGTACACAAAAACATTATTTCCATCTTTCCTAAAGATGTAAATAAAATCATTTACTAAGACTACAAAGACTAAAGCTAGTATTGAGAATCTGAAATTTCAAATGCTAACTATTTAACAGATAGAATATGGCACATGATGGACAAACATTCAATTAGTTTTATAATAATACTGACGGCAATAAAAGACGGATTCTAAAGCTAAAATACAACAAAATGATTGACCTTCACATAACTAAATGTGCATGTGCAATATGGCAAGTGATTTTAGAGAGTCATATCTTTCACCATGAATACTTTCTGGGCATAAATACAGTTGCTTTTATTAAAACAATATGCTTTCTTTCAAGCGAAGTCCCCATGATAGTAAAATATCAGTCCAACTCTGAAAAATTATGGATTAGGACCCCACCTTGGCACTTTTAAAAAAATGTACGGCTTAATTTCTAAAAAGAGGGTCATGTTTTTCTCAATTTAAAGATATCAAAAGTTTCTTCTACAGGATATTATTAACTTCTAATAAAAAGGGGATGGGTATTGAAATGCGATAAGTTAAAACCCACATTTTCCATGTTATTTTCCCATAGGGAAAATTCATGCTATCCATTGTTTTCAGCATTATTTTAGTCATCGAAAATTGATACCTTCAAATCTAGACTTTCAATACCATTCTACTTTTGAAGATGTTTTAGACCCCTTGTTGAATAATCTTTTCATGCAATAAAAAAAGATGATCCACTTTTGAGCAAATAATTTCAACATTCTGAAAAGATTGTTGACATGGGGTTCCTATTTATAATTTTTCGAATTGCTTGATTGATATTTATTTCATCATGGGGACTTCACTTGAAAGAAAACATATTGTTTTAATAAAAACCACTGTATTTATACCCAGAAAGTACTCATGGTGAAAGATATGACCATCTAAAATCACTTGCCTTACTGCACGTGGACCTTTAAATAGGATAACAAATTGTTTTAACTCACTTGTCAGAAGGATCTACCAGTCTGATTTGATCTGTTACTCGTAACGGGCGCTCATCGGCCATCATCCTTGGTGGCTGATTCTTGAAGTCACCAACTGTTACATATTTCTATATGGGAAAAATTGATATTTCAAAATATATTTTTATTTCAATTCTTTACTGACAACCATGTTATGGCCCTGTATAACCTGTATGTAGTTTTTAGAATTGGAGTGCAGATTTATGTTAAAGGTGACATTGATAACTTAAGGTTTTATGTGAAGTTAGTTACAAACTCTAATAGGAAACCTATAATACACACAGTATTTATTTTTAAATGTTGTATTTTATAAATGTACTTGAAACAACAATTTTATCATTTGCCTTAGTGAAATTCCTCCCATTTAGATCAAGAGTGTAGCTTACCAAATTGAGGCCTTCTACAAAGCACCAGTTACGTTCTTTCACAATGTAGTTGATGATCCCCTGCTTTCCTGCATCCTTACCAACCAAAACCTGAACCTGAAAGCAGATAATAAAGCAATGAAAAGAAATTGTGCAAAAAATTTTAGAAATATGTCAAGGATTTTGGATGAACCTCTCTATGATATTCAGGTCAGATTGATTAAATCATTAGACACCATATAGGGGCTCATATGGTAGCCAAAGGTGGGCCCGTCAGTGAGCAAATTTGGACCACATTATTTATCTCGGGAAACATGTCAGATTTAATGATTTGGAACTTTGACGCCCAAAAAGCGACCATTATGGATAGCTTTTCTAGGTTTTATACCCCCGAGGTTATTTTCGAGGGGGTCTCAACTCTTTCTTAATAACTTTAAAAATATTAAAGATATGTGTCTGAAACTTGCAGGGTACCTTCCTGGGGTCAACACATAGCTGTATTGAAAGTTAAGGATTATTTGGAATAACGGTTGCTATAGCAACCAAGAAAATGTGTTTCCTAACTGGCAATTTACAGCAATTTTGGCCTGTAGCAACCTGGTTGAAGTTAGATATTTTTTCTATTGATGAATTTTCACATTGTTAATTGGTTTCAAAAACACACTAAAACTGTATTCTTTCATTTTATTGCAGATTAGAATTGACACCATTAGTATGAAAGGTCCATAATCGTACATAATTGAACCAACCCCCCAAAGTCTATAAAAAGTGGGCGTGGCACCAGACATGTACCATTTTGTAATTCATAAGTTTAAACACCCAATAAATGATGTTGATATTTATGTAACCATGTTTCCAGTGGTAGTTGAGGAAGTTCTTTTAAAAAACTAGATATATAACCATGGAAACCATATATTTATGTTGCCATAGCGACATAACTATGGTAATGAAATAGCCAATAATTTGATCGAAGCCCTCATGCATGTGGTCCCATATATACAAAATTCAAATGTCCTGTATCTCTCAAAGATCTTAAAACCTTCCTGGGGTCAACACAGAGCTGTATTGAAACTTTAGGTTTTTTGGAGTAATGGTTGCTATAGCAACCAAGAAAATGTGTTTCTGAGCTGGACAATTTATTGCAAGGTCGGCCATTGCAACTTGGTTGGAGTTTGATATTTTTTCTAGTGATGAATTTTCACATTGATTATTGATTTCAAAAACACACTACAACTGTATTATTTCATTTTATTGCAGATTAGAATGACACCATTAGTATGAAAGTTCAATAATCATACATGAATGAAGCCCCCCCCCAAAGTCTATAAGAAGTGGGCGTGGCACCAGACATGTACCATTTCGTAATTCACGAATATAAAATATATTATCATGGAAACCATACATTAATGTTGCCATTTTTTTAAATTTTATTTTTATACATTATCAATTTATTTCATCATAATCATGTTTTACAAGAATGGCTTGCCAATCGCTTATAAAGCATTATAGGCCAAGCTAGAAAATACATAAATTTAATTACAAATGTAAATGCATGTAATATGGAAGAATAGCAACAATTTGGACAGGCTGGGGTCATGTGTCATAGTCTCAGTGAGGGGAATAGTAGGCATAGTTAATACTTGCTTGGAGGGTCCCATAGAGAATTATGATTATGTTAAGAGTTCTCCAGTAAAAAATTGGCAACAAGAGCAAAAAGTTCATTATTTTGTGCCAGCGATAAATCGTCGCTGCCATGTTTCAGAAAATCTATAAATTGGCTTTTGTTCCTTATAGCTAAAGGCTTGTAAGTCTCTACAAGTGTTCCTATTTTGTGCTTTATTTGGACAAACATAGAAACAACTTTGGTCTGTTAATGCAAGGCTTAATGAAATTATTGTTCATTTGACTATTCATTTGGCCATTTAGAGAAAACAACAAATGTATGAGTAAACTATATTGGCTGAATATATATCCTAGTAGTTTACATTTTTTGAAGTTCACATTTGTATTAGCTACTATTCTAGTATATCTGACACATCTCTTCTATAGTGATACTTTAACATTTGCTTGCAGAACGTGATATGTTATAGGTCCCAGAGTGATGGCACTCAGAAGACTGCATATGATATATATATATCAAATGAAGTTTGAAAAAGAGATAAGTAATACAGCATACTATGACCCTGTCATTTAACCAACAGATGAAGCAGTAAAGTTCTTAAACAAGTCTTTTTCAGTTCTCCCCAGTCCTTTGTGAAAACTTCACCTATATAATTTTGAAGCTCATATGTGGGTTCTGACTCTTCCGGATCTTTTATAGCTGGCCTCATCACATCAACAAGATCTTGTCATAATATATTTGATGTGCAACAGTCTAGTACACAAGATAAATTATTTTCCAATTAATTGCCTCTGGGAGATGACAGTTCAGGCTTGTGTTGCACACAAACTCTTCAATTACAGCCTGTGTTTCAGTTTCAGTAATATTTGTAGATGACCCAATACATTAATTGAATGCATCTTGGTATTTCTGGCATGTATTCCCACATGTAAAGCATACTTTTCTGTTCTTCAACTTGGATGAGTACTTATCTGTTTGCCACTCGCAAAGGATAAGACTGTTTAGTTGGGTCTTGTTTTGGCTGTTGCTCAAAAATTCTTACCAATTCTTAGGGATGTGGTCCTTGGATCATGAAGGGTTTTGATGTTCCTCTTCTCATTCTCTCTGGTTCTTTTATTGAATCTATGTATTTGATAGCTGTCAGTTAAGAAATCTACCCTCTCTGACTTCAGTGGTAGCATGTCAAACACTTGCTCTGTTGGTTCTTCAAAGGTGGATAGACGCTGCACTAAGCTGTGTTAGATAGCATTACCATCATATATGTAGAATGGTTCATCTTTTGCTGGTCTTGAAGGGTGATGTTGGGAGATTCTCAAGAGCTTTAAGGAGTTTTGCTTTTGCTGCCTTCGCTGGCAGACCATCAGGAGACACTGGACTAAGCGGATACTCTAAAACTTTCTTGTTCTCTTGAGATATAAGAACTAACTGTCAAAAAATATTCCTTTCAGCTCTTAACTTGTCAGATGTTTTCAGGATGTCCTTCTCGATTGTCACAAATGTCTTCATCGTTATTCTTTTCACTGGATCTTGAAAACTTTTGATGTCACTATCAAGTCTTTTTTCAAATTCCACCTTGCCTCTGGACCTGACATGTAGTAGGTCTTGAGCTACATCTGGAACAGGCCGTATTCCTGATGATAGACAGTAGAGTCGATTATAGCACCTGTCTCAAGGGGGTCTAAAAAAGTTACCTATTGCGGCCCTTGCTTTTGAAACACCTTCAGAGCCTGCTATGTTTGCACGGTAGTAGGCATTTGGATTGATGATAAATCCAATTACCCACCCCCTCAGATTTCGCACTCTGATTGATAGTCTGTTCAGTGGTTTGATCAACTGGCAAATGTAGCGCAGGTACTTGGGACCTGTTAACACTAAACCCAAGGTCTCTCAATAGCCTTTCTTTCTCTTGGTTTGAATGCTTGAGGTAAGCAAGCATAACATATTGTGCTATTAGATATATAGCATAGTGGACATAGGTCTTGTAGACACTAGACAAAGTAAGTGGAGGTCACAATCATTCTCTGCTAGCTTGGATGAATCGTGATATATATAGGTTATTTACTGGGAGGGATTGAATATGGGTTTTATTCCGAGGGACAATATGATATTGACCGAAGGGTAATATGATATTGACCGAGGGAGCGCAGCGACCGAGTGTCAATATCATATTTCCCAAGGTCAATATCATATTTTCCGAGGAATAAAACCCATATTCAATCCCGACCAGAAATAACCTATTTATTCCATAATACATTCCTCCTTAAAATGTTACATTTGGATAATGCTTTTATCAATTAGTCAAGGTTAAAAATAACCGGAAAAACCAAAAATAGGTTAATACGTTCCAATACGATTTTTGTCCCGGGGACAATACGATTTTTCCATGTAATACGCTCCAATACGATTTTTGTCCCGGGGACAATACGATTTTTTCATGTAATACGATTCAATACGATTTTTATTCCTTCATATTTCCCTGGGAAAACAGTAGTATTATGGAATAATATATGACAATAACCTCTTGTGAGAGCATGGGAATTGGTAACTGGCTGATAAACTTTGTAGCAATTCCAGGAAGATTTTGGGCACTCTGATTGATCTGTTATAATGGTTTCCAGTTAGCACACCTTTGAGATCCATTAGAATATATGCCAGCTTCGATGATGATATCAGAGAAACCATGAAAGCAAAGCCAATGAATAGCCAGAAATACCAAGATGCATTCAATTAATGTATTGGGTTTTCTACAAATATTACAACTGAAACACAGGCTGTAATTGAAGAGTTTGTGTGCAACACAAGCCTGAACTCTCATCTCCCAGAGGCAATGGGTTGAAAAATAATTTATCTTGTGTACTAGAACTAGACTGGTGCACATCAAATATATTATGACAAGATCTTGTTGATGTGATGAGGCCAGCTATGAAAGATCCGGAAGAGTCAGAACCCACATATGAGCTTCAAAATGATATAGGTGACGTTTCACAAAACTGAGGAGAACTGAAATAGACTGGTTTAAGAACTTTACAGCTTCATCTGTTGGTTGAATGACAGGGTCATAGTATGCTGTATTATCTCTTTTTCAAGCTTCATTTGATATCATATGCAGTCTTCTGAGTGCCATCACTGTGGGGCCCATCACATATCACTTTCTGCAAGCAAATGTAAAAGCATCACTATAGAATAGAGATGTGTCAGATATACTAGAATAGAAGCTCATACAAATGTGAACTACAAAGAATGTAAACTACTAGGATATATATTCAGCCAATATAGTTTGCTCATACATTTGTTGTTTTCTCTAAATGGCCAAATGAATAGTGAAATCAACAATAATTTCATTAAGCCTTGCATAAACAGACCAAAGTTATTTCTATGGCAACACAAATGTATGGTTTCCATGATAATATATTTATATATGATATTATGTATATATATATTTATTATATGATTATATTTTTAGGAGAACTTCTTCAACTACCACTGGAAACATGGTAACATAAATATCAACATTATTTATTGGGTTTTTATACTCATGAATTACAAAGTGGTACATGTATGGTGCCACACCCACTTCTTATAGACTTTGGGGGGGGGGGTCATTCATGTATGATTATGGACCTTTCATACTAATGGTGTCATTCTAATCTGCAATAAAATGAAAGAATACAGTTGTAGTGTGTATTTGAAATCAATAATCAATGTGAAAATTCATCACTAGAAAAAACATCAAACTCCAACCAAGTTGCAGACTGCCATAAATTGTCCAGCTCGGAAACAGATTTTCCTGGTTGCTAATTACTCCAAATAATCCCAAAGTTTCAATACAGCTCTGTGTTGACTCCAGGAAGGTTTTAAGATCTTTGAGAGATACAGGACATTTGATTTTTGTATATATGGGACCACATGCATGAGGGCTTCGATCAAATTATTGGCTAGTTCATTACCATAGTTCTGTTGCTATGGCAACATAAATATATGGTTTCCATGGTAATATATCTAGTGTTTTAAAAAAACTTCTTCAACTACCACTGGAAACATGGTAACATAAATATCAACATTATTTATTGGGTGTTTAAACTTATGAATTACAAATTGGCATATGTCTGGTGCCACGCCCACTTTTTATAGACTTTGGGGGGTTGGTTCATTCATGTACGATTATGGACCTTTCACACTAATGGTGTCAATTCTAATCTGCAATAAAATGAAAGAATACAGTTGTAGTGTGTTTTTGAAACCAATTAACAATGTGCAAATTCATCAATAGAAAAAATATCTAACTTCAACCAGGTTGCTACAGGCCAAAATTGCTGTAAATTGCCAGTTCGGAAACACATTTTCTTGGTTGCTATAGCAACCGTTATTCCAAATAATCCTAAACTTTCAATACAGCTATGAGTTGACCCCAGGAAAGTACCCTGCAAGTTTCAGACACATATCTTTAATATTTTTAAAGTTATCAAGAAAGATTTGAGACCCCCTCGAAAATAACCTTGGGGGGTATAAAACCTAGAAAAGCTATCCATAATGGTCGCTTTTTGGGCGTCAAAGTTCCAAATCATTAAATCTGACATGTTTCCCGAGATAAATAATGTGGTTCAAATTTGCTCACTGACGGGCCCACCTTTGGCTACCATATGAGCCCCTAATAGTTTTTATTTTCATTTTCAAGATCTTTTAATTTGACATGGCTTCTCAAGCTGTAAAATTGTATGTTGTTACTTTTATCTCTGTTTTGTTAAGTTGTTCTTTTAGAGCTTTCTCATTTTTGACCTTAAAATTAAAGAACAATATTAATGGGACAAAAACAGACAACACATGACAATAAGGCATTAACATGACAGACAAGATGTCACCAGACATGGTTACAAAAGTGTAACAATTGTTAGAGATACCAATTGTGGACACTGTGAACATGTCACTTCTTATAAGGCACAAATTAATCATAAACATATCAAGCTAATAAAAATAATGGATCAAGAATGATTGACTGAATCCTTAAAATAATACAAGTCAATCAAAAATATATTGGATCCTGGTCATGAGAAAATGGGTCTTACAATATAATTTTATGTTTTTGTTTTACATTTTTTTATAGACCTCAGAATAACATTTGCAGCATTAACCCCACAATTACTGACGTGACACTGACAGTATTTTGGCATTCAAAATTTTAATACAATTTCACTTCTGACTCAAATCTTTGTGATGTGAGACTGGTTTTCCCATGACATGGCTAAGTTAGAAATAAATTTACCTTTTTCAACTTGAGTGAAGTCATCACATTCACATTCCCAATCCTAATCATTTCCAACCTCCAATATGTACAGTGTATATGTATATGTACAGTGTATATGTATATGTATTGAGTTATGAGGAGTTTGCTAAACCATTTACACTGATAAACATGTACATACCAAATTGTTTAAAGTCCCCATCTTAAGTTTGAAAATATTTTTTTATCATTCATTTACTATTTGTCAGGACTTAAAAAGTGTTTTTAGAGATTTTTGAACAAAAAATTTTTTTTGAAAATATAGTTGTGAGCATTTCATTTCTCAAATATTCAAATTTCCCGCCATTTTTCAAAAAAAGTTGAAATTTCTTAATCATCAAATATTTCTTAATGCATTTCAAAAAAGATTATCTTTTTAACACTAATGCAAAGATTGAACAGAGGACACACTATTTCAATAATAAAATGCCATATTTAATGGGCCACTTCAATGTTTTAGCATATCAAATATATTTTGAAACATTTAAGTGATGTCACTAAGGTAACAAAAACTCTTTGAAAAAAATTGAAATTTTCTTTTCGATGTCAATCTTTTCTAAATATGCTAGACTTTCATAAAAAAAACAATGTTGATTGTCTAACCAGGTTAAAAGGAAGAATAAATTATGTTTTAGATATCATTGTACCATTGGTTTCTATGAGAACTAAAATTTTGAAATGCATTTTTCTCAGAACCATTTTCATGCACTGATAAATTCATTTTTCGCTTGTTTATCAACCGATTTTCTTAATTTTTTCGGCAAAAAACATGGGAGAATGAATGCTATGCATTGGTATGGATTGTGGCTAGTTAGAAGATATGAGTGACCTCTTAAAGTTGGTTTTAAATAAATTCACAAATTTTGGAACAAAAAGTCTTTAACCTTTAGCGTGCTGCCGGCGGACTCGTCCGCCGAGACTAAAATGTCTCTCACAACTGCCGGCGGACCCGTACGCCCGATTTCAAACTTTTAAAAACTTTACTTTTTCGCGCCATTCGTATTGTCCTATTAGATTGCCCGATTTATTCAGTGCCTAACATGACTTCCTGTTGACCTAGAAATGGCGATATTTCGAAAAATAATTCTCAATTCAACAATTTAAACAGTGTTTTAGTCGTTTTTAGTGAAGGAATCATACAAAATGGTGGACAAATACGATCACAACGAAAATGTGGAGGAAATGAATTACGATTTCGAGCTCTTTAGGCTCTTGGAAGCCGATAACGGTCATCGAAAATAGAAACTTGAATATTTTCTGAATTTAAAAATTGAACATTCGATCGCTGCAAATTCAGAATTGGATTCTGACCAGACGAAGAAGCGGAGCGGCGGATTCCGGAGGAGTATTCATGGTATATTTATGCCCAGTCGTGTTAATGTACGAAAAAATTCATGAGAACATTTTTTTCATGAGCCAGGCCACTGTATCTTCCCTTTGTGAAAGTTTTATCCAGATTCATTCAGTAGTTATTGAGATATTAATTATTTAGTCCAGGTATATCATTTTTTGCACTCTTTGAAAAATAAGCCAGTTGCGTGGGATATATTTGCTGAAATAAGGCAGCATGGTAAAGGTTAAAAAACCACTTTTTGAAATTAAAAAAAAAAGTTTCACATATCACACTTTGATAACATTGGGTAAGACTACAATATTAGCCAAAGTGGTTTAAACTTTATATGGGGCCTTTAAACTAGCAAAGCACACGACTATATTCATGGTTAAAATGAGGAACACCTTCTTCAATAACAACTACATGGGACTGATGTTATGCATAACAAATTAATGGCCTAGTCACATGGCCCGGCCGATGTCCGGCATCGGTAGAGCTCGGTGGTTTTTTTTGGTGCCACCGAGCTCTCCTCATCGGAAGCAGAGCTCGGTGACGTGAACGGACTCCGTCCGGACATCTTCAGGCGACCGACCGAACACCGGCCGGTGACCGTACGGAGTCTGTCTCAAAATGGTAGTTTTTTTCTGCCGATGTGGCAGCAACTACCTGCCGGAGGTCGGCCGGACATCGGAAGGAATACGGCCGGTACCCGAGCAGGTAACAGGACACCGTGCGATCGCCGGCCGGGTTGTTAACGGGCTTTGAACAGTGACCGGCCGATGCTCTGTCCCACATCGGCCGGAGCTCGGTCGGAGCTCGGCCGCTGTCCGTTAAAAAACCTCGTCCTCTGGTTGTCTCAGATGCACGGGACACCGGCCGATACTCGGCCGTGCACCGGCCGACGTGTTTTCCGATGTGGTTACGATGGGGCTGCGATGACATGATGAGGGAGCTCGGTGAGAGCCCGGTGAAATTTAACTCCGAAGTTAAAATTTCACCGAGCTACCACCGATGTGGTTTTAAGCAACAAACACCACGGATGTCCGGCCGGTGTCCGGCCGGTGTTCGGCCGAGTTCGGTGAAAATTGCATCGCTGGCTCATCGTAACCTCATCGGCCGGGCTATGTGACTAGGCCATAAGACTTAACCCCTATTTTGAAGAAACCATGATATTGGAACATACTAATTTGATTTGCATGGTACAACTTCTTCATTTCCATAGAGATATATCTTGGAGAATTCCAGTGTCAGCTGATGTACTCAGCCAATGGATAGGTTCCAATATAGATGAACAAATAACAGTATTATTTATGCATGGCTAGATAACTTGAATTATCTTTTAAAGACAAACAATGAGCAAAAGATTGTCATGTTCAGAGATAATGTGAATTGGGAAATTACATTAATGCTTGTTTTTAAGGCTAGGACTGCAAATTCTCTAGAATCTTACTAAAAAAATGAGACTTTGATGAGATTTCAAAGCTACTGAGTAAAATTAAGTATCATGTGTGTGAATATATATTTAGTATTTCAGTGTCATTTTGACATAAACCACCTTATATAAAGTGATCAGAATGTGGCAAGGGGTGAGCAGACGTGGCAAAAATATCAAATGTAAAAATAGCTACACAACTTTTGAAAGTCATAATTGTTTAGTACCAGTTGATATTTATATCAAATTCCAGGCTATTTCATAGATATTAAATTAAGCAAGCTATGTGTTTTCAATGTAACCAAACACTTATGTTAAAATCCGATCCCTTTGCATAAGGTGAAAACTGACACTGTTAAATTCAAGTCATCATTAACACATAAATAAACAGTATATAGAATAACAAACAATATATTTATTTTTTGAAGGCACAAATGGAATCACAGTATTTTGAGGTTACTGGTTGTGGTAACATATACAGTCATGCGCAATGTACATATATATGCATCTAATTTTCAGAGCAGTTAAAGCATGGAGAGGGCAATATCAGGAATATAACTAGATAATGGCAACTCCGCGGAGTAGCAAATCCCAACGAACAAAATATCAATTACCGAATTCCAATCAATTATACTCATTACTTCGGTTAAAATTGAAAAATTTAGATTTTAGAATTGCGAATTCCTGCAAAGCACCCATTTTGAATTTTCTGAGGTACAAATCTGAAAAATAATACAGTGTATTGTGATCTTCTCCAAAATTCCTTCAATTTGAGTAATATATAGCCATCCGTTGAAGGGATCGAAAAGTTATTGCGAAATCGTACATTAGACGGCCATTTTGAATTTTACAAGGCTCGAATCAGAAAAAAGATACAATATTTGCAATCTACTCTTAATTGCCTTTCATTTGAGTATAATAAAGCTATACTTCAAAAAGATCTAAAAATTTCTGTTTTCCTGACCCCCCATACACGGGCCCCTGGGGGTCAGGATGAAAAACATGGAATATATGTGAAAAACATAGATGTTGCGAATACAATACCAAAATTTCAAACAATAATATTAATTACTTTGGTTTAGAAAGAAAAATTTATGATTTTTGCGAAAAAGTCCCGTCATTTTTAAAGCTGTGGCCATCTTAAAAAATCCATTTTGAATTTTCTGAGGTACGAATCTGACAAATAATACCATAATTGTGATCTACTCTAAAATTCCTTCAATTTGAGTATAATACAGCCATACTTTGAAGGGATCGAAAAATTATTGCGAAATCGTACATTAGACGGCCATTTTGAATTTTACGAGGCTCGAATCAGAAAAAAGATACAATATTTGCAATCTACTCTTAATTGCCTTTCATTTGAGTATAATAAAGCTATACTTCAGAAAGATCTAAAAATTAGCGAAAATTTCTGTTTTCCTGACCCCCATACACCGCCCCTGGGGGTCAGGATGAAAAACACGGAATATATGTGAAATAGATAGATGTTGCAAATATACTACCAAATTTTCAAACAATAATATTAATTACTTTGGTTTAGAATGAAAAATTTATGATTTTTACGAAAAAGTCCCGTCATTTTTAAAGCGGCGGCCATCTTGAAAAAATTTTTTTTTGCGTAAAACTTTACATCAATATACATCTTTCCACCAAATATGAAGAAAATCCGTCAACTAATATTTGAGTTATCTTCCGGACGGACGGACGGACTGACTGACTGACTGACGGACTGACGGACTGACAGACTGACGGACTGACGGACGGAGGGCTTCACTATATCCCTACCGAACTTCGTTCGTTGGGATAACAAGTGATTAATCCCAAATCTGAGATAGAGAAAAATGTCAGGATGATATCTGTAAAATTGCATCAAATGAGCTCAATAAGAATTCATCAATTAATATTTCACCTTTCCTGGTTACATGCAAAATATCTCTTGTGGGATATTTCTTACAAAAAATCCCTCCCGATCAATAACTACTTTTTATGCTGGATGTGATCTCTGCTTGATTAAGATTCTCTCAAGTGAAAAAGTTGTGCAGGAATATTACAAATTGTTAAATAATTCCAACGCTAAATTGAACCAACTCATTCTAGTTAAAAATGTAATGAACACAAATAAACATGATGATGTCACTTAAAGTCTGGCTTACTAGGGTAAGTACACCCAAAATATTGTATGACGGTTCTAGCAGCATAGTTACCACATCGCAAGCACTCATCTAAAGAGGCCCCTTGAACTAATTGTGATAAAAACCCTCCTACAAATGCATCCCCGCAGCCATTTGTGTCTTTTATGAGGTCCTTTTCGATTGGACATATAGGGTGCTCAGTAATTCTCCCATCAGTTGCAATTATTGTTGGATCCCGTCCTTGGGTAAAGATCACTATGCGTTCCCGTCCTGTGTTTTTCTTGGGTAGGGCAGCCGTTTTGAGCGCCATCTCCTGAATAGTATCCGCCTTTATTCCTTGGAGGCCACAAAATTTTGCGGCTTCTGTTTCATTCCCGAAGAGAATATCGATATACTGCATAATGCCAATATCAGGATCAGCGAAATATTCACATAGAAATGGAGCAGATAGGTTCATAATGAGAGTCTTGTCAGTATCACAAGCGTGTTCGGCTACCTCTTTTATAGATTCAGCACTCACGGGGAACACAAATCCACCAATATAAAAGAACTTGGCTCGCTCTATCAACTCCCAATGTTCATTGATGAAATTATGAGTAAAGCTACGTGCAGCTCCAAGTGAAGTTACTAAAGATCGATTCTCTCCGGTAATAATTGCGCCACATTTTCCGGTATTTTTCGACTCATGAATTTGATAGTGGACACCGACCCCTACATTTTCTGCAGTTTCTTTGAGTACAGATCCCATCGCATCCTTCCCTACGCAGCCTACAAATGTCACTGATTTTGGCACACCGAGCAACCATTGTGCTACCCGCATCGTATTCTGAGTGGCACCCCCAGCAACAAACATAGGCTTATAACGTTCAGTTATTTCCTCAAACATAGCTTCATGCTTTTTCTCGGCAATGATCGCATCATTAGCTTTCAAATCATACTTCTCAAGGAATGCCTCATCAGTTGTGATGGTCATATCTAATAAAGGGTTGCCAAGCCCCAGTAAAACCCCTTCATAGATCTTAGATTTCTCGGAATTAGTATCCTGTGGGTTAGAACTAGAAGCATTCTGGGTTAAAGTATCTTGTGTGTTATTGTCACTAGGATAAGTTGAACCTTCAGTTGTACCCGACATATTTGTATGCATAGATCGAGAGAAAGCTATTTGACACTGTTTCGCTAGTCTCGGGAAAATAGCTGTTTGCGATCCGTTATTTTGTAGAGGTCCCGAGCCAACTCTGGGAACACACAGCTTGAAACAAAATGATAAGGCAACTTAGTTGATGAAAACACAGAATGAAATCCTAAGAAAGTGTGTATATCCATAAATTCTCATAAAATGTCTCTTAAATCTTTTAATATTTTAAAATTGAAGTTTAACAAGCATGTAATATGTATTGTTCTATTATTACGGTAGGCCAAATCTGTGTGATCACTGTTTCATTATAAATAGTTGAGTTATTGTTGCTATGGTTACACATACAATGCTTCAATCAACTATTCAAGTTCAGTATTGAATATTAGTATTCAAGGACAGAATATGAACAAAAATAAATAAATATACTTTGAATTTAGAAGTTGAGAAGAAACTCCTGCTACTTACCAAAGGATACAAAAGGCAATGGGACTTCCAGGCAAAATTGTCACATAAACAATGCACTTTGTCTTTAATTATGAAATCATATAATGACATCACACAGATACTAATGATATAAAGCAACTAGAACTGAAGAAAGTTGATTTCATTAAATATGTTGTACCTAGTTAAAAGAAACAACTCCAAAACACCTGGAAAAACATTAAAATTAAGGTTTTATGAACATATTTTGATCTTCTCCAGGGTTCATTTGTCTGTGCTACCATAGCAACCATAAGTCATTCAATTACAAAAAATAACAATCAATCAGTTTAAGCCTGAAAACGGAATGATACTTATTACATGCTTGTTAAAATTTTAGGTAAAATATCAAAAAGAAAGATTTTAAAGACTATATGAGAATTTATGGATATACCTACATTCAAGATTACAAAGGTGAGTTCAAGAGGCCCCATATCAATTTTCAAATTCAAGTTATTTTTAACATGGTTTTGGTGTGTAAAATTTGATAATAAAGATAATTTAGCAATATTTGGTTTCACATTCTACTGTTCTAATCAGTTAAAGTGTCAGCAAAGAAAATAGTGTAGAATATTCAAACACAATCCAAGTGCTTTCTTGTTATAATCCTAATTCTTTTTTATCAAAAAAAGAATTGAGAAATCTGATCAAAGACAGTATAGAAGTTAAAGTTGCATATAAAGTCTACAACAAAGTTATTGCAAGATCTCAAAATCAAGGATTATTGCTTTATGCAAAGAAATAATATTTTAGAAAATCGGTCTAAAATGCATCTCTAATCTTTGCTGGACATTAAAATCTTGACATTTCTCGACAGTAATTGCTCTTGCAACATCATATTAACAAACCTGCCTAGTAGGTCTCTATCCACTTGTTATCAACTATGTTATTCAGTTTTTAGGTGAAAACCATTAATGCACTATCCACTGTTAACACTGAACCTCTGAATGGTAGTTAATAAAACAGAATTTTCTACACTACATGTACTGATACTATTTATAACTCTGAAACCTTGCTCTTGTTTACATACGCTGAGCGTTTCAGATAAGAAGCTCACACAGCTGTTTATTTGAACTGCAGAAAAAATGTACTTGAGGTCAACACTTTAATCTATATTTTATAGATGGCACAGTAATGCATATTTACTGAAAGAGGTGGAACTTCATAAACTGTATGTCTGTCCCTTTTTAAACAAAATTCTATTTAACCTTGGGAATTGTTTTTTAAAATGATTAATAGTAGCTAATCAATAGAGAATAAAAACAATACAACAGCAATTATATCTTTCAACTGCTTTCATATTAATTTGATGATTTTTTTGTCCAAGGTAGAAATTCTTTGTTGCCCTTGGCACTAACTATTATTATATATATTAAATGCATGCAATTGCAACTACACAATCTAGCATAACCCCTAAAAAACAAATAAAAAACAAACAAAGCACACAATTTGCACCTTGATTTAAAAGTTACTGAAAACAAACAGGAGCCATCCACTAATCTTTTTTTGAAACATAGTGTTGTAATCAATTAGTTTATCCATTTCTCAAGCAAGAAAGATCGATTAAGATTGATTATCTAATTTAATTATTTATGACAAAAAGACCCAGTGACCAGACTTCTACACCATCTCAATATTTTTTAAAGCTTGAAAAATACTGGGCTTTCAAATTTTAACCTGGCAGGCTTTCATTTTTTGAAAACATAATTCATGTCTGATGATAAAAATATTTGTCACCTGACTATATTTTGCTCCCTGGGTAAAATTACCTATGTTTAGTAACTTGGGTTTTTCTCAGTTGTTTTGACCAAAATCGTCTGTTTTTTTGTGGAATTTGGCAACATTTTCCATGTAAAAAATTATTGTTAATTTTCAAAAGACTATTTGTTCCTGTTTCTGTCTCTTCAAAATATGTTTAAAAAAATACCATACCCGATCTCCTTTGAATATACTCCAGTCTTTGATTGGCTCCACAAAGTAACGCTTGTTATTCTTTCCTGCTCGATTATGTTCTTGAAATTCTGCAGTCCAAGGTCTATGTTCATTATAACTCCACCAATGTCTATCAATTTCCTTCCAGCCTACTAAAGGACCACACCACTTTCTGTATCTTTGTTTGGAGAAAGTCTCTCTGTCTACCCAGCGATCCCAGTATTTAAAGCCCTTTGAACTGCAAAGCGCTCGTAGAGATAATCGTACCATTTTGCAATCCCGTCACCAAACCAACTGGAAAAAAGGGAAATTTTCTAATAAATTTTTAGGGCTGTCAAGTGTCATTTAGATGCAATCAATCGTCAATCTAATAATATTTTTTTACTGAACAATCTCAGTCCTCAGCAATTCCAGGAGAAATCTAAACTGATAGTCTCAATATGAGTTGATGACCCAATAATATAATCTATTTAATTTGGGTAAGTGTATGCAGCATGGGTAATTTTGGCTTCCAGCATCAACCATGGAAACTGGCCAATCTGAGATTGTTGAGTATAGTATTTTTTAGGTCGAAAATCAGTTTTTCTAGAAGGAATGGTTTTAAATTTGTTAAATCAGGCGCTGAGGCCTGGCATAAATCTACAGAAAAGTAGATTTTACAGTCAATACACTGATATTTCTTGAAATTTAGTCTCCGCAAATTTCAGAGGAGTTTGAAATGGACATACAGTGCTGATACAAATTAATTGATAAGTCGTATAGTAGGCATATTTTCTTGAATTATAACATTTAATGTCCCAAACTCTCCCAAACTGCAGAAAAGTATATATGTCTTCGCCGGGTTGGCCTAGTGGTTAAGGCATTGGTCTGAAAAGCAGAAAGTCTGGCTTCATGCTGAAAAGTAGAGGTCTTGGGTTCAAATCCAGGTCACAGCACTTCTTGTGATTTGTCTTTGACCTATGACTGCTGACCTATACCGGCGATTACTAGAGTGCTGCTGACTCGATAAAAGGCTGGCGCTGGCTAGAATTGTCTATGGTTCTAGCCAGGATAAAGATACCAGTTCTTCAACTCGACAATGGGAAGAACTGCTCTACCTTAGTGACTAATATGTCATGATATGACATCTAATGCAGGGCTCTCGCCAGGCTTTTAGACTGTGGCGCAGCACCACACCCTATTTAGCTCCCTCCACACCCTAATGGCAAATCATGACTGTTTCCACAGTCTAAACTTGACTGAATATACAGTAATAGCATGTAAAAAGGATAAAACATAACATAAATATGATTTATCACAATTGAACGGTTATTGTGAAGATGTTAGCACCACACCCTAAATATTTCCTGGTGAGAGCCCTGTAATGGGTCGATAAAAGATATATATATATACCGTAAGTCATGTTTACCAAAATGAGTGTCTCCAAGACTTCGAAATTTCGCTAAAATGAAGTAAGGGTAATCTCTGCCAGGTTTGTCTATTGTGGTTAACTTCTAATGGTTAGTGCTCAGAAGCAAATAATTCATGTGCACAAAATAATCTAATAATCTGATTGTATTTAACTTTAGTGCGCATGCGCTTGGTGTATGCCATGTTTTTTTCTAGTGATTTCGTTTTGTGAAAGCCCATGGTTCCATGGAGTTTGTGTTCCAGTGTAACTTACGCAAAAATGGCGGACCAATGACAGAATAAACAGGTAAAATCACTTCGAAATTTAAGATAACTTTTTACCGATAATAGCAAAACTTTTGTTTTATTTGTGCATTCTATCTATCAGATAAGAGCCTCAGGGGTGTATAGGCAAATCCATTTTGGTAGGAGCACTCTGTTAAGTTTGAAAACTCATCCTTTATTATTTTGTATCAGCACTAGCTCTTTTTTAGAAGCAAAGTCAAACAACTGCAAAGGGTAAGTATTGGCTAGAGACTTATGAAATCTCGGAACATCATCTTTGGCCTACCCAAAAATATGACCCTTGTACTGACCTTTATCTTTACCATCTCTCAATCATTGAGTGATCAATATTTACCCTGCGATCTCTTCTTCATGTTTTAGTTTCAATGGTTACATGATATAAATTATTGACGCTGTAAATCAAGTTTTCCCAGGATAATTTTTTCAAATTTTCAGAGCGTAAAGATAATGGAGTTTTTCGGTAATTTCAGGCAGAGAACAACGGAAATAGCCGAAACACTCCATTATATACGCTCAGTTATTTTATGCTTTTATCAACAGACACTTTCTTGAATGTGTGGTTTTAGTGATCGGAGATGAAGCTAACAACAGTATGCATCGTTTGAGGTATGACATGTGATATCAATTGATAAACTGACTCCAAAATCAAGGAAATAGATCTATCAATTTTCCACATGCTATCTACATGTATTGCGAGACTTACGCCTGCCACAACCGTCGCCATGTTAACCAGTGTTTTTAAGTAGCGCAAGGATCCTGCCATGACCGTGGTAGTGTTATCATGTTAGCCTGGTATAACCGTGACAGGCTGGTATAACCGTGACAACGCTGTATTATATTGCAAGGCCTGTCATGACCATGGAAGTGTTATCGTGGAAGCCTAGTAGTAATTTTGATTTTGACATGATTAAGGTAGTTAAACACCATGATCATAGTATTAAACTGTTTAATTGTAATGACGATCACTTAAAATTGTTAAGGATATTCCTGGCATTAATGTCATACATACTCGTTTTACTAGTCATTGCAATATATTATAACGGTCATAGTAGGACTAAGCCTAAATTTCCACATTACCACCCTCATACCTGGCCTTGCAATACTATATTACATTGTCACAGGCATACCAGGCTTTGCGATCCCATAATACATTGTCACGGTCATGCCAGGTTTTGAAATACACATTATCACGGTCACTTATAGCAATCATGAATTTCTACATTACCACTCTCACACCCGAACTTGGAATACTATATCACATTGCCACGACGGTCATACCAAGCCTTGCAATACTTATATTACATTGTCACGGCCATGCCAGGCCTTGCAGTACTATATTACATTGCCACGATCATGCCAGGCTTTGCAATACACATATAGTCACGGTTATAGCAGTCCTAATCGTAAATTTCTACATTACCACTCTCATACCTGAACTTGCAATACTATATTACATTGTCACAGTCATGCCAGGACTTGCAGAACTATATAACATTCCCTTATAAAAAATTCAACCTTGAAAGTCCGAATTTAAACCGTTTCCATCAATCATTGAATACTGATTGTTTCAACTACTAAGATCAAAGGAAAAACCATTGTACGGTGATAAGCAATCATTGTGCAACCATTGCGTTCAACCAAACAAAGTCAACTCTTTTTCAATGACTGCGCAACCATTTCTATACAATCATTGTAATCTGCAACCATTGTAAACTGCAACCATTTCACATTGAAATGTAAATGGTTGCAATACGTTTTGTTCAATGATTACATAGTTCAAGCCCTGCAACCATCCTGAATTGGTATCGTTCCAAAAAAGTAATCATTTTACTTGAATTAAAATTATCTTTAAGTAAGGATTTGAATCTACCTCTATTCAACAAGAGTATATTAGGATATTTTTTCTGCAAGCATACATGCATGTTTATTATAGTAAATTACTAAATTCATGTTCATATGTTTCTTTCTCCAGTACGGATTTAGGAATGTGATACCAGACTAGTTTTCCACTCAATGGCATATGATAATTTATGTTCTCTGTCATTTACATTATTTACACAATTAAAAGTATCATATCTAGTGTTTATTTCCCGTTATCTGATATTGCCAAAATAATGTATCTTTGATGTTAATTATGAAAAGAATTTAGCAAAAATTTGGTTAAGAAATTGACCAAGGAAAATCTTAAGATTTCCTTTAAACTTAACAAAATCACAAGATGAGACACCATTGTTTTTGTTCATGATTAGACTGATATACATGTATGATCAAAAGAAGCAGGATATGATGTACAAAATAATACAAACATGTAATCACAAGTTGATTTCTTTATTTAGTGAAAATGTTTATATAGTAATAATGCATTCAGGCACCAAAGACTTTAATTTTCACAGTTTCAATGGAAAACATCTGAATAAATAATTTCAGTAAAATTTTGTCAAGGTACAGGGTGACCGGAAAAAAAGGAGACCATTGAAATAGGCAATATCTCCTAAAATAGACTAGTGACATCAATGAAATTTTGCATACATCAGGACAGTTCTATGGAAATTTGTTCCTGAAAGTGTCAATACAAGCAGTCAACTGGTTCAGGAGCTATGATCATTTACATAACATGCTCCAAATAGGCGCAATTGAGACCAACGCAGAGCTGGATACATTTGGCAAATACCCTTACATATTCCGACCTTGTTATGGCATTACATTTAGCATTTATTGCCACCTTTAGGTCAGCAATTGTCTCAGGATTGTTTTGGTACACATTGTCTTTCAAATTGCCCCACAAAAAGAAATCAGGTGGATTCAAATTTGAGGTGTATGGAGACGAAGCTTATCTGACCTATGGCTTCTGACTCAGTGGTCCCACTCAGTTACAGTATCATCCTAAGGAGGTTTTGGGCAGCCCTTGGTTTCCATATGGGATTTAATTGTGCCATATAGTGGTTTTAGTAACATGGCACTATGCCCAATACCTAAAGTGACTCTTAAGATTGGGTAAATCAGCACTTTGGCAACAGGATGATGAACCACATGTCAGATAACCCTTCATTGCCATTACAGCCTAGACTTGAATCCTGCTGATTTCTTTTTGTATGGATATTTGAAAGACAATCTATACCAAAACAATCCTCAGACTATTGTTGACCTAAAGAAGGCAATCACTGCTATATGTAATGCCATAATAATGCCATAGAGGGCAGAACATGTAAGGGTAGTTTGCCATATGAATCCAACTCTGCGTTGGTCTCAATTGTGCCTATTTGGAGCATGTTATGTAAATGATCATAGCTCCTGAACCAGTTGAATGCTTGTATTGAAACCTTCAGTAACAAATTTCCATATAACTGTTCCAGTGTATGCAAAATTTCATTGATGGCACTTGTCTAGTTTAGGAGAAATTGATTACTTCAATGGTCTCCTTTTTTTCCGGTCACCCTGTAGATGGATTATTGCTACACCCATGATATACAAATAGATTGGTATGGGAACATATTGATATTGGAGGGTTTAGCTTAGGACCCCCGCAAAAGTTTATATATAATGAACAGGCCAGTAGTCAGCCCCCCCCCCCCAGCAAAATGGGTCTTCAAATGTATCCA